ATGGTTCAAAGCCATCTAGGGCAAGAAAGTCCATGAGACTCTTATCTCCAATTAACCACCAGAAAACTGGAAGTGGTGCTGTGGCTACAGTGGTAGAGCCCTAGCCTTGAGCCAGAATGCTGAGGGACAGCACCCAGGCCCAGAGTTCAAGACCCACGACTGACTATATATGTATATATATATATATATATATATATATATATATATATATATATATATATATATATGAATGCATGTGTTTTATTGGACATATACAGGCTTGTTTTTCTTGTCATATTCCCTAAACAATACATTATAACAAATGTTGATATGGCATCTACATTATATTAGTATTACAAGAAATCTAGAGACGATTCTTGTAATTTGTGTGTGGGGGGGAGGCATAGCAGATTAGATGCAGACACTACACCATTCTATATAAGGGACTTGAGCATGCTCAGATTCTGATATCCCTGAAGATACCAGAAGAACAATCTTCATGGATACTAAAGAATGTCCGCATTTGCATTTGCTCACTTATCTATTCCATCCATTGGAGTATAAACTCCTAGGACTTGAATCTTGTATTTTATTCCCATTCATTGGTTCATTGTCCTTCATCCATTAGAAGTGTAATAAATAAATTGTGAGGTGAAGTAAGTTTCTGGTGTTATGGATGCAAATATCTCAGAATCATGGCTTTTTAGAAAGAAACTTTTCAAGGCTGGATGCCAGTGGCTCATGTCTGTAAATTCTAGTTATCAGGAGGCAGAGCCTTGGAGGATCATAGTCTGTAGCCAGGCTGTACAGAAAAACAAAACAAAACAAAAACTTTGAGCCACAATCTCCAATTAATCACTAGAAAGCTGGGATGGCATCATCGTGGCTCAAGTGGTGGAGCACCAGGGTGTGAAAGAAAGTGGAATGAAAACCTGAGTCCTTGAGTTTAAGCCTAGTACTGGGGAAAAAAAGAGGGGAGGAAGAGGAAGAGAAAAAAGAGCCACATTTCTACATAATTTGCTCATATAGAAAATCAGAGACATAATTATAGTTATTTTTATTATAGCATTTATTGTAGTTGATAATTTTAAGAATTTGTAAAAGATAAAAATTCTTCACATCTACTGAATTAAAAATATAGTCATTTTTTTGGAAATTAAAGAATCATTTATTTCCTGCACAAAAATATCATGCAAGGAATTATGATAAAGTAGGTGAGTATTGTTTAGGGTATTTACAAACATGAGTGGCATATTAGAGAAAATTGGGATGCTGGGATATTAAAAGGAATATGGTAGCAACAGAGTTGCTGTTACAATAACTGTTATATTAGCATGACAGCTGATGTCATGTACCTATATATAAATGTCAGGAGTTAATTTTAACTTATATATTAACTGAGTGTACAGTGAAAATACTTTTCAGTTTTGATATTGTGATTAAAAATACATTGTATGCATACCCTGAATAAAAAGTATCCTCTCCTTGGACTTGGTAAAACATTTTGGAATGCTTCCTGGAAGAGGAAAGGAAGGGATTACAAATGAAATAAGACTAAAGTGCAAATTCTTTTAAATACACCATAGAGCTCAAAAATACTTTCAACTATTATAATGACACAAAGAACTTGATTCAATAACTCTTGTCAGTAGAGATGTCTATACTCATACCTGACATTTTTGACAACTAGAAATACCATCAGAATAATATATTTTAAAAGTTTCATCATATGATAAACTTATCTTTTCAGGAATTTTTTTAGGTGTATGTGTAAAAAAAAAAGATAAATAGCAGACACATCATTGTTAACCAGACATTAAAATCTTTGTTCAGCTGGGCACCAGTGGCTCATGCCTGTAATCTTAGCTACTCAGGAGAGATCTGAGGATCATTGTTCAAATCCAGTCTGGGCAGGAAAGTCCATGAGACTCTTATCTCCAATTAACCACCAGAAAACTGGAAGTGGTGCTGTGGTTTAATTGGTACAGCCCTTGCCTTGAGCTGAAGAGCACAGGGACAGTGCCTAGACCCGAGCACAAGCCCCATGGCCAACAAAAAATAAATAAGCAAATAAATAAAATAAAAATACCATACAATTGGATACAAATGCATTGTCATAAATTTCCATAAGAGGGCTGGGGAGGTGGCTCAGTGGTAAAGCACTTGCCTTGCATGCCTGAGGCCCTGGGTTCGATTCCTCAGCACCACATAAGCAAAAAGCAAAAAGCCGGAAGCGGCGCTGTGGCTCAAATAGTAGAGTGCTAGCCTTGAGCTGAAGAGCTGAGGAACAGCGCCCAAGCCCAGAGTTCAGGCCCCACGTCCCGACCCCCCCAAAAAAAATTTCCATAAGAATGTCTATGGAAATTGAAAGCTAGCTTTGGCAATATATGCTTGATTAGTAACTTAGAAGATATGTTCTAATATAATTAAATACACAGAAGAGTAATGAAATAAAAATATCAAAAATATTGGAGCAAACAAATTATTCATAACAGGAATAATATGTAGTGTTTCTTCAAAACATGCCACTTTGGATTTCATTCAAATAATATTAGACATTTTAAAGATTCTATAAGATTGAATTGTAGCTTCCTGATTTCATTAATTATCTGTCATGATGATAGCATGTATAACATGTCTCAGTTATTTTATAAGTTCAGTCACATTTTAAAGAAATGGCTCTATACTAAATTCTTACATAATTTACATCAAATTCTCAATATTGGATATAGTTCTCATCTTTATTATAATCCTGAAAATTACTTAATATTAAAAAATTAGCCTTTAGAAATATGTAGATAGGCCAGACGCTGTAAGCTCATGCCTGTAATCCTAGCTACTCAGGAGGCTGAGATCTGAGGATCATGGCTCAAAGCCAACTAGGGCAAGAAAGTCCATGAGACTCTTATCTCCAATTAACCACCAGAAAACTGGAAGTGGTGCTGTGGTCAAGTGGTAGAGCACTTGCCTTGAGCTGACGAACTGAGGGACAGTGCCCAGGCCTAGAGTTCAAGTCCCACGACTGACCAAAAAAATATATATTTAGATACATATATATATAAGCTGTACGTTTAGGTGCCTTTAAAAGAGACTTTCTATGGGATGAAAGAACAAATTGCAAAGTCTTCTGAACAACACAGTGACTGGGAGAGAGAACAACGAATTGAGAGAGAGAACAAAAGAAGAAAATGTTGCAGGGACTGAGTAGAAGATACCTTTTAAACAAAATTCAAGAAAAATATTTGAATGCAGAGACCCCAAAATCTATTCCTTTGAGAATTCAAAGTATTTTAAAATTAGGTGACTTAGTCTAGCATAACTAATATTCTGCTGTAATTAGCTCTTCATGTTTCTCTCACATAGGTTCCTAGGAAATTTGACTATAAAAAACTTTTAGGATTTACCCTTTACCTGATAAGATGTACAACTATATCAGCGCTCATTATGGTTTCATTCATAAGAGAAATTCAAAGTGCTAAACTGGACACATTGAATTTTTATCTTCAGTTGTGCAAATAATGAGACTGGAATATTGTATTCAAACTAAAAATGGCTGATGTGTTATAAGAAATAGTATATATAAGTAGAAATTGCATACTCTTCATAAATCAGGCAAACACAGAAGCTAATTCAAAAAAGTATATCATTTCTAGAAAGTTTGGCGATAACTTTCTTTTTCACTTTGAAAATTCTAAAGTTTGTCAGGCTACTACATTGCCTCTTTTTTTTTTAAATGGTGGCATCAGACACTGAAGGGAGCCTAATTAAAAAGTGTGAAGAATTTAGGGAGGAAATAGTGATCACACAACTTTTGAGACATTTACCTAAACTGTATACATTTTTTTAATATTTGAAGAGTAAGATATAGCATTTAAATTAATGGAAAAAAACTGACCCGAATCCACATTTTAATGTAACATAAAACAATAAAATAACAAAAATTAGACTATAAAGGAAACTTCACAGTGAAAAATCATTTGCATAGATTAATAGGCAGGAGGCTGTTGTAATCTCTTTCTAGTCTGATCTTGGGAAACTTTCAATGAATTATTTTGAGTTGTTGTCTGTTCTGTAAGCTCTGGATAACTGTGTTTATATAAGTAACCAATAGAGGAAAAAAAGAGATAATGTCTTCCAGAAACTCAAGGCACGGCGTTAAAATGTTATCTAGACACTTCCAGCATTGGAAGTACTGAAATTCTTAAATGATCATTAAAAATTCAGTTTGTAATTTTTTTTAAATGTGTTCACTCAGTTATATTTACCTTATACATAGGTACTAGATTTAGGGTAGATTTTTTTTTTGCTAACTTTGGAAAAAATAGACATAATTGTTTTATGTCATATCTTTACTCTTCCCATTTTAATAGTTGGACTAAAATGTGCCAACTAAAATATGCCTAACTCCTTGCCAACGTGGATACAAAACGAAGTAACTTGTCCGTTATTTTCTATTCTATTCTTATCTAAAGTGCAGGCACCCAGCAGCACCCTTGTTTAAATCAAGAACAGGTTTCCGGGCTCACTGTTAGAGCTTGAGCAAAAAGGGACAGAAAATAGGGTAGGTAAAGATCAGAACAACTCTGTCCTTTCCAAGGGTAAAAACATCTGCATGGGGAACGCTCTGACACTGGTCGAGTGTGTTAGAATTTATATTTGAAATGACCCCCAGAGACAATGTGCTAAGGGCAAAGAGTTAGGAACCTGTGGTATCATTGGGAGGAAGTGGGGCCTTAGTGGAAAGTAGATAGTACCTTCTCCTCTCAACCTTTGCCTCTAAGCTTGGCTCCACCCCTTGCTCCCAGCCTTGGGGCCTGCCTCATCCCAGGTCCCAAAGCCATGGGGCCAAGCAGCCATGCATTGAAACCTCTAAGGCCATGAGCCAAGTATTTTGTGTCAGGGATGGAAAACTGAGTGAGGCTCATCTTGAAGAGTTTTTAATCAACGAGCTCAGTTGGGAATGGGTGGGAAGGATTGTCCCCATGGAGCGTGGCAAGGCCGGCATGCAGATGGGTACATACGTCCACTTTGAATCTTTTCATCCTCCTCTCGTGCAGTCGTGGCACCAGCTGCAGCAGCGGATGTACTACAGAAGACTGAAAGGACATGGACACACACTGTGAGCGCAAGGGCTTCTCCGCCTCGGGTGTGGACACTGCTTCTTGCTTGGTTTTGACCCACTCTACTTGCCAACCTTCCCCTCCCCCTCCCCTACCCCCACTTCCACCCACCCCCCCAAAAAAAGGGAATTATCTAAGTCAGCCCTTTGTGAGATCCTCAGAAGACCTGCGGTGAGTAAGCCAAGAGCTGGGCGAGAACATGGTACCCTACATTACAATGTTGTTATGATCTGAAGAAGATTTGCCCAGGTTCTAAGGCATCAGCTGACAGCAAGCAAAAGCGCTTCACTGCCTCTTTGGGCGGTAAAAAGCCATCTGCTTGTTTCTGCTCTAACTGAAAACAATCTGATCCAGATGACCAGATTGTCAAGATCAGTTTTCCTTTCCAACAAAATTTATCTTGAGGAGTATATTTCATGTATGTACATTTAGTCATCTTCTTCCTAAGTTACATATTTAAAACAAATATGAATGAGGCAGAGGGGACATAAAAATGGCAATGTTTTGTGATTGTGAAAATGGGAATAAGATATCTTTTCTCCCCATGTAAAGATGTTATGCAGAAGAAAATGAAAGATCACAAGAGACAGGTGTCATTTGATACGGCTACATTTTTTTCAAGCATAGAAATTGGACAGAACACTCTTAATAATATTGAATTCACTTACCAAGTGTATTACTTGTAGCCCTAGATAAAGGTTATCTGATCAAGTACTCAAGTCCTGTTGGGTGTAGAGCCAATCTAACTGAATTCTCAACTTCTCATATATATGAACGGTACATATGATAAACAATTAGAATGGAGTTTACAATTACTTTTACACAGGTACACAAGTTTAAAATATGCTCTGTCTCACATTCCCTAAATTGGTTGTGAATTACAAACTTAGAAAAAAATCAGATAGTTAACTATTTACTAGATATTATAAATGAAAATACTAATATTAAGTTTCCTTTTGTTTTTCTTTTGCATGGCTGGGGTGGGGAAGTCAACCCCTGGGCCTTGCTTTCATGATAAGCACTCTGCCTCATTTAGCATTTTTTAAATCCATACACATAAAATTACCACTAAGCCACATGCATTTTATTGAACTATATTCAAGTTAATGGCTTCTCACTAACCCTGGAGAATAAATATTCATATTAATTCTCACACCTAATTACTGATAAGAGGTAAGGACTGTAGAAATAGAAAATAACATTGCTAGTTCCATTTAGTTTCATTTTTATAATCATCTTTAAAAATGATTCTTGAAAAGCAATTGGATAAGGCTATTTTTCCCTTGTACTAATTGTTATCAAAAGTAATGTGTTTTACTAATATATTTCCTGGAATATTTTCCCTTTCCATTTTTTTAACTTTACTTTTTCCCTTAGAATGTAAACTGCATGAGAACAAGTATTTCTTAAAAATTATTTTATTTACTGCTATATTTTTAAATACTTAGAATTGTACCTACTCAGTTAGGTAGATAGCTTGATAGATGGATGAATTTAATATACAGATAGTTACTGACATATAAAATGAGTTAACTGTATATTATTGATTTCCATTTTTTCATTGACATATAAAACTTATTTTTCTTTGTAGTCCTGGGGTCTGTTGCATGCTAGGCAAAAGCATTAAATTATATCCTTAGTCCCACATATAACTTCTAAAGTAAAGCTATCTGAAAGTTGACCTAGTTATATTAGATAAACTGAGTAAAACCCAGAAAATTTCTCTTAAACCGAAAGTAGTGATTTCTAATAAGTAGTTCTACAACTTACCACAACATTTGAATTGTCCAACTTTTGTGTCTTTGAATAATGAAATAAAAACTGTTAAAAAACAAAAAAAATCAATTATTTTGAAAAGATTTGTTGTGTGCTTTACTACTTTTAAATGTAACTATAAAAATTGGCTTACCCTTTTAGTATTATCTTTTTCATCTTGTTCCTATTGAAAATATAGGTATACAGTATGTCACATACTATACAAATGATATATACACTACATATAAAATATAAAACTGATATGGATTAACATCTATTGCTCTAAAATAAATGGTAAATTAATTAAATACTATGTATAAACAGAAAATACAAGTGAAATTTTTTTAGCAATTTTCATATCCAATCTCATGACATATCCTAAAATGTAAAAATTTTAAGTTAATAGTTATTGCTTAAAATGCAAAGAACTTATACATAAAACTTTTAACTTACTACAGTATATATTATGGCCCAAACTGGAAGAGATTTGACTACTTATATAGGTGAACAAATTATGGAATACTCATGAAAATAAATAGAAGTGAACAACTATCCTTATTACAGCATTGTTTCGAAGAGTAAAAATTTAGAAGTAATGCAGTGTTGAAAAGTGATGGAACAGCTTCACACCTGTAATCCTAGCTATTCAGGAAGCTGAGAGATCTGAGGATCGTGGTTCAAAGCCAGCCCCTGCAGTTAAGGACATGACTCCTCTCCAATAAACCACCAGAAAACAGGAAGTGGCGCTGTGGCTCAAGTGGTAGAGTGCTAGCCTTGAGCTGAAGAGCTGACAGATGGCGCCCAGGCCCAGAGTTCAAGCCCATGACCAAAAAACAAAACAAAAAAAGTGGTGAAACAGGAAATTCCCGTAGATTTACATAAAAATGTTTGTAATTATTATCACTAATAATATTAACGAGTTATTTTTGCTTTCTTTCATAAGCTTTTCTATATCTTTTCTACCTGTGAAAAATCTGTTTTCAAAGGTTATATTGTTCTTTTGTTTTTCTTTCTTGTTCTCATTTGTTTTGATATTGGAGAATTCTCAAACTTCTGATCTCAGCAACCCGAGTGGCTAGAATTACAAGCATGATGTTAGAAATGGCTTGGGATGTTGGGGTGTCATATAGGAAAAAGGAAACAACCTTGAAAGGAACTGGGCAAGGCAAAGTTTGCTTCTGCAGAAGGATACACCATCAGCCAAAAATTGGGCAAGAGGGATGTTCCCTTTTTATTCCTCATACAGCAGGCCCTGCCCCTCTGCTCAAAAAGGTCGAACTCAGGTCACAATCTACTCATGGCTGCCTAATCTGAGTAGAGTAAGATGTATCCAATATACAGTTTTAAATACTTAAGTTATAAAGTGACTATTAAAAGACTTTGAGATTAGATTAAATAGTACATAAGCAATCTGAGAATATACACCCTCTGCTATTTTCTTGAACAATCTCAACATATCTTAATTCTTCTTCCATTTTGGAACAACCAAGACAAAAACCTTACATTTTCAAAATCCTTCTTTATCCCAAAGCACTTCCTTTTTCCTTTCTTTCACTTGCTGATATTGTATTGGCAGAAAAGTCAACAAGAGCCAAGCCACCAAGCCAAAGTAAGAATTTTTAAGCAACCCACTTTGGTAGAAAAGATGGCTTTTCTCACAATGAGCCACCACCCAGCTAGATGTACATATTTTTAAACCATACTAATGACAGAAAAACACCATTGTCATTTCTTTAACCTTATTTAGGAAAAATACTCAATTTTTAAAAAGCCAACTAAGTTTTTTGGAAAATATCACCATTAGAAACAACAGGTAAATATACAGTTGAATCTAAACACTTATGCTTTTCAAACTACTAATGTTTCTTTTTTTAAATTATTGTATATGGAAGATACTAAGGCTAAAATACATCAAAGGTCACAGATTAAATCTAAATTAATTGCTAATGAAAGCATAATTCAAAACCCAAGTCTCCAGTCATTTATAGGGTAATTCAAGATCAGCCCAGACAAAAAGTTCACAAGATTCCTTCTCAACCAATAGCTGGGTATGATGGCATATACCTGTTATCCTAGCTAGGTGGAAGATCTTTGTTCTAGTTAAGTGGAGGTAAAAGAGTTCACAAGACCACTTCTCAATAGAAGAACCTAGGCACTGTGGTGAGAGCCTGTCATCCAAACTATGGCAAGACGCATAATATAGGAGAATCCAGGTCTAGTCATGGGCCCAGGAAAAAATCGAGACCCTGTCTAACCAGTACTAAAATAGACTAAAGGCATGGCTCAGCAGAAAAGCATCTGTCTAGCAAGTGCAGAAGTCCTGAGTTTAAACCCTAGTATTGTCAAAAATTGCAATAAGTTTGCTTATAAGATACATGAGAGGAGGAGGTGGTGCTGTGGCTCAAGCAGTAGAGTGCTCGCCTTGAGCTGAAGAGCACAGGGACAGCATTGCCCAAGCCCAGAGTTCAAGCCCCATGATAGACAAAAAAATTTAAAAAAAAAGATACATGAGAGGAAATGAAATATAGTACTCATGTGATTTTTCAAGTTGCCAGTTGACTTAGCATAAAAACATTCTCCAAGAATAAAATAAGAAATGAAGACATGAAAGCAAGAATATAATTCCTAGACTTATATTGACAATAGTTTGCTTCTTTGGTGTGTGTGCACATGCACGTGTGTACATGTACATGTGTGTTGCTAGGGTCAAATCCAGGCTTCATATACTAGGAAAATGCTCTATCACTGAGCTATTCTTAGTGTCCTACTCTTTAATGAAGTACAAGTCTTAACCTGCAAGCCACAAGTTGTAGTTCACAGCTTTAGAAAGAATCTATGAATCAGGGAGAAAAACAGAGCCAATATGACCACAAATCTCTCCCATCACAATTGAAAGAGATACAATTTACTAATCAGATGGTTATAGACTTTATTACTGTGACCCTAAATCATCAGCTATTAGGCAAAGTGAAATATTTGGTTTGTATCAAAACTCAATGTATCCTCTTTCCATGCTTCATAAATTGGACATATTTTCTTCCATGATAAATTTCAAGACATTTTTAAGGAGTGTGTGTGTATGTGTGTGTGTGTGTGTTGGGTGTGTGTTGGGTGTGTGTGTGGTGTGTGTTGGTACTGGCATTTGAACACAGGGCCTAAACATTGTTGTTTAGCTTTTTTGCTCAAGCCTGGTACTCTATCACTTGAACCATAGCTCCACTTCTGGCATTTTGGTTGTTAATTTGAGATAAAAGTCTCATGGATTTTCCTGCCCAGGCTGGTTTTGAACCACAATCCTCAGCTTTCAGCCTCTTGATTAGCTAGGATTAGAAGTATGAGCCACCACTCACTGGCTAGACATGTCTTTATTTTCATTAAAAAAAATTACAGACAAAACACTACTTCAGCCTTACCTGAAGCTTTAGTAGAATACGCATCACCACAGAGCAAAATTCATTCAGTGCAGCAGATGCCTAATGGGAAGAAGACACAGGGTTGTGTTTCAGCTTGCATGGTATCTGCACAGAACTTGGAACTTAGGGTGTCAGGCGTGCAAGGATTTTCCAAGCTACCCGGAAAAGAAGTCTGGCTGTGGACCACTCTGTTGGAGCTTCTTGAGTTCTCTCATAACAAAGATTTGACTGTTAAAGTAAATCTTTCCTTATAACCAGAGGTAAGGAAGGGAAAAGGAACTACAGAGTGCATACATACGCTGATAAAGAATTTCACTGTGGTCCAGTTACATAGTTCTCAGGATTTGCTAGGAACCACGAAGCCCTATGACTAACAGTAACCAGGGCAGTGCCAACTGGGGATTAACTTCCCAGCTTGCAGCAAAGTACATATGCATGCCAAAGCTATGAGCCTCACTGATTATTACTCATTATTGGCTAATTCAAAAATCCTACAATTGCTCCAAAACAATGGGAATTGTAGGACCAAAAGCCATGCATGGTGCACTTCAATCTGAGTACCACCCTACTAGGTTGCTGACTGCACACCCCAGAATCAGGTTTGTCAAAGCCTTTGAGCACAGAAGTAGGGCAGGGTTTCTTGTGGTTAGCAGCCAGCTGGGTGTGGTAAAGAACAGCACAAATGGACAAGCAGAGGCAAACCGAAATTGCGCAGGCTCTAGCACAGTAGTACCATGAACATTTGACGACTTCATAAATGCATTTTGGAAGTAATGAAGAGCTGAGGCATTAAAGGGCAATCTAATTTAATTGTTAAAATTATGGACTAAGCCAGTCATGGTGGCTTATGCCTATAATCCTAGCTACTCAGGAGGCTGAGATCTAAGGATCACAGTTCCAAGCCTACTCTGGGCAGGAAAGTCTGTGAGACTCTTAGTTACAATTAACTAGCAAAATGGCAGAAGTAAAGGTATGGGTCAAGTGGTAGAGCATAAGCCTTGATCTAAAAAGTTAAAAGATAGTGTGCAGGCTCTGAGTTCAAGCCCCAGTATTGGCACATGTGCACAGGCACACACAGGCTCGGAGACACAAAGCAGCTTGCAACTGTATAGCAACATTTTGTATACCTCATTAGCTGTGTTATTGTGGGCTTGCTACCTAATCTCTCTAAACTCCAGTTTCTCCAATCAACAATTAGATGACAATGACTGCAGGAAGTGCTTAGAGGGATAAAAAGTAGGTAAAGTTCTTAGGTTTGGTTTGCCAAAGCAGGCACTTTTGGGTTTTTTTTTTTTCAGTACTCTTAATTTGTCAACTACGTCAAAAGATTGTACAGAACCATCAATCTTTTCATCCTCTGGACAGCAGGGCACATCAGGCTGTGGTTGGTGATGCTTCTGGAGTCATGGCACAGTGTCTCCACACACCTTCCAGGTCTGCTTCTGTTCTCTTCAGTCGTGTGGCTGCTATGCAAATTGTTGGGGTTTGTGATAACATGAAATGGTTTGTGTATATCTAGTCTAATATATTACAAAATGTGTCACGTACATAGCATTCTGGCATTCCAACAGGAGGATGAATGATTGTTATTCTCCCGCAGAGAGGAAGTAAGGACTTAAGCATTTTCTCTAGTTTGTACTATACAGGTTACTAGTTAGGAGAGTGTGGTCTAGAAGCTCAGTCTTATGGATCCTACTGTGTTGCATTGGTTTTGCCTGTCAAGCCCATGGTTGGGAGCTCTTTTCTCCCCATTGCTAGATAAATGCACTGATCTATTTCAGAGCTAAGCTACTAGCCCATGGTATTGGGAGCTGAATGAGAGAAAGAGTAAAGTGTAAACACTGACTCATTCTTTCTCATTTGTTGCTCTTTAGGTTCATAAATATCTAGGGAAAAAATCAGGAAAGCTCCTTTTATAGCCCATGTAGAAACATCACAAAATATAAATATAAAAGGAAGTAGTTAGGTCAAGCTCCAATATGGTGTGTGTGTGTGCAGGTGTGTGTGTGTGCGTGTGTGTGTGTGTGTGTGCGCGCACACACGCGCGTATGTGTACACTCACAGGGTTTTTTACCTTAGAAAAGTGGATTTAGGTTGGATAAGACTTGATAGTAAGATTGAATTTTGGGGCACATGCTTGTAAGCTCAGCACTTGGGAGGCTAAGGCAGGAGGATTGTGAGTTCAATACCAGCCTGGGTTACATAATGAGACCTTGTCTCAAAGAGATAGAAAGGTTGAACTTGGAGTGAAAAAGTTTTGAATATATATTCTCTAGTTCCTCTTTGTAAGAAGCTACCACTCTCAATAATTAGTTAAGGATTTTTATATTTATGTGCCTTAAATATCCTTTATTTTCTACTTGCTAAAAATGATTTGAAGCATTATTTGGGAAAGAAAATAATATACAATAATAATAATAACTAGTGCATGTACAAATTAATCATGTTTTAATTTATCAAACTGTATTAAATTTAAAATTAAATTACTTGTAAAAGACTGGAATTGTAAATTTACCGAGCTCTTCTTAAAAGGTACACAGAACTCAAGTCCAATTACGGGTTAGATTATTTGGTGGGTTTAAAATCAAGCGTTTTTTATTTTATATCTTTTATTGTAAAAATACCATACAGAGGGGTTACAATTACATGGTCAAGGTAATGAGAACATTTCTTATCAAGCATTGTTGCCTCCTCCTTTGTTTCCCCTTCCCATCCCTTCTCATCTCCACCCCACCCTCTAAAATCAAGTGCTTTAAAAATCCATCTAGCTGGCACCACAGATATGGAAAATAATTCTGGAGATATTCTTGAATTTTAAAAATGGCATACAAAACTTACATGCTAATATCTAGCACACGGTATTTTTCTGTCAGCTCAAATAATTTGAATTATTGTCCCTAAATGTCAAAGGGATTCTGCTTTTGCTTTGCCAGTGAATGCTTCTCACTTCCTGCAGGGCCAGAGCGAAGCAAGCTGATGAAACACAGCCCTACATTAGGGTGCTTTTCCACCAGCCAGAACCAAGGTCTAAAAAGACTATGCACATGGCAGCTGGGGCGTGGATGCACTGCGTAGGGAGTGTGTACCAGACTCGCACGCATCCTTGCCCAGGAGCCTGGAGGTACTGACTAAGACTATCAAGATGATAAGACTAACTCTGCTTGCCAGGTCTCAGATTTGCAAGGTGAGGCCACGAATCTCTGTGTGACTGGGGCCAGCCTCACACTCTGTTGCTCCCATGGGAAGGGGAACGAGCTGTCTGGGGTGATCTTGGGAGAGGAAACTGGGCATGTGCAGTTTGGCAGTCTGGCTTATGTCTCCGGGATCAGCATGCTGCTCAGCTGTGCTGTGGTAAGAGGCCCAGTGCCACCAGGTGAGGCTTTCAGGCCAGGTCAGTTCTTAGGAGCTAACATACTTGGCACTGGGCTTAGAGCCACATTCACTTGGATATTTCTACTATGAGGATGTTTTGGGTTCCACAGGCCTGACTCATAAGTTTGTCAATAAGTTGCAGGTTCACTTGTGGGACAGGACATTACCTCTTCATACAGCACTAAATATAGTGTTTTTAATTTAACACTGAATATGACTTGGAAATTAGTATTTTAACTCAACAGCCCATAGTTTCCAAAATACATGTGTACGATCTGCGAGGGTATTTTTATTTAGGGATAAAAGCCCTGGTATATTTTTAAACACAAGCCATAGTCTGATTATTACTGCAGATGAGTGGACATTTCAATGAGTCCATAAAGGTCCATAAAAGGAGAAATGGAGACTTGGAAACATTGGGAAACGCCTACACGTTTGCAAAACACCTTCAAGCAAAATTACCTGAGGCTGAGAATCACTGGACAGAAATGATGAGCAAGCTTCGCCCACCTATAGGGAACAAAAGGGTCAGTTAACACCCTGGAAACAGACAGAAGACAGAGGAAAACACAGAGTAGATGTCACAATGTAAGTTACCTACATAATGGTGATCAAAATCCTCTGACAGCGTGGGATTCCCAGATTTGGAAGAAAGGAGCTTCTAAACATTTATAAGAAATCATGGAGCCGGGTGCTGGTGGCTCACGCCTGTAATCCTAGCTACTCAGGAGGCTGAGATCTGAGGATCGCGGTTCAAAGCCAGCCCGGGCAAGAGAGACCGTGAGACTCCTATCTCCAATAAACCACCAGAAAACTGGAAGTGGCGCTGTGGCTCAAGTGGTAGAGCGCTCGCCTTGAGCTGAAGAGCTGAGGGACAGCGCCCAGGCCCAGAGTTCAAGTCCCATGACCGAAAAAAAAAAAAAAAATCATGGAATTGGAACATGCCCAAGATGTACTCCCAACAATGGGGGCAGACCTCCCCAAATAGTTGGTAGAAATCGTTAGAGCATATAAAATGCCTCAAACATCAGGTACTATTCAGATGTGAGGAGTTACAAAAAAAGTAGCCTCAAAAAGAAAAGGAACCCTAGGTTGCTGTACATTTCCTTACTAGACATGACTTTGATGTCACCTAACAACATAATTACAAGCAGGAAAAACTGTTAAGACAATGTTAGTAACCTACTAGATTACTACTATGAAACTAGCACTAGAAAAGAGTTCTGTTTTTAAAACAAATGTGTTTTAAACTATAGTCTGCAACTATCTGTTCTCAGCCTTTATCCTAAAGAGAATACTTCTCATCTAGTATGAGATTTATGAACCAGGTGGGTGGTAGATGTTTGTAATCCTAGATATGGGAGTCTAAGGAAGGAGGATTATGTGTAGCCTAGGCTACACAAAGATATATGGGAGGGGGCAAGCAGGCAGAAGCTGGCAGACAGAAAGGTAGGCAGCAGACAGACACAGAGACAGACAGAGACAAACTGAGAGACACAGAGACAGATATTAACCACAAAACCCCCAACTCTGCTGGGAAGTTACGAATGAACCTGGTATTTGGAGGTGTTTATAACATTCATTTCTTTGGCAGCTTTTAAAAATATATTTATTGTAAAGATACTGTACAGAGGGGTTACAGTTACATGAGGAAGGTAATGAGTACATTTCCTATTGAGCATTGTTACCTCCTCCTTTGTTTTTCCCCTACCATTCCTTCCCTCCCACCTTCCCAACTCCTCCCCCCACAAGTTGTACAGTTTGCTTTTTAACCTAGTGTCTTGTACTTCTCATTGTTACCATGGGTCAGCCTGTATCATTGTTTCAGCATTTTGTTATTTCCCTTCCCCTCTCCAAATTAAAAAATGTACATACAAGATGCAGGGTACTGGAATCAAATACAGTGAAGACAGGGGTGGGATTAGAGAAAATGGCTCTGACACTTGTGGTTGGAGTGATTTGGGTTAAGGCCTGTTTATGGTGTACTATTGCAGAGGCCCCTTCTATAACATCTCAGAATTCCTTATCAATCCACTTAATTTAATTTATATTCACACATCCAACTGAGGGGGAGCTTTGATTATGCTTTTCAGTGGTAATTTCTCCAGCTCCATATTGCTTCCATGTTGGCTGTGTTTTAAAATACATAACTTCGATTTTGAGAGTAACAAAGATCCCATATATTGTAGAAAAGCAAGAGCTTAACTCTCCTTCCTCTTTCTCCTCATAGATCTTGCCATCTTATCTGCATGTCACGAATGTTTGGGAAATCTGTGTATATTCTCATCCCTCCTGCCAACTCACCTCCCTGCTCCCTCCTTCTTCCAGATGAACCAGAATCATGGATACAGGACTCCCCCTCCACCCAGCACACACTTCTTGAGGAAAAGACTATGTTGTGTGTGTTCAATAGAAGTTCTTTAAGTTGATTCAAATTTGTGAAAAAATATACGAAAAGAGAAATCAGTTGAGAGGGAAAGCCAAAAGATATCCTTTGAACCAATGTTTCATCCATCACCTCCAACTAGATGCTTTTGTGGGCTGAGGAAAATCTCCTGAAATGTTTATCTGAAGTCATTGAATGCTCTAGGGGTGTCACCCATTCACGGTCAGGCCAACCATCTATGTGAGTGGCCTGTGACCAAGAACATAACTCTTGAACTTCTACACTGACAGCTCAGTCATCAGGCTGTTGGAATAAGAGCATCAGAATTTATAAAAGGTGAATTCATCTTATTAGGAGATCACTGTGAAATTCCCAATCTTTGTTCTCATTTCTTTGGAAGGTCCAGCAACACAGCATGACCCTTTCCGATCGAGAAAGCATTTGTTCATTTGACGTATAGTTCTAATGGTTTTGAGTGCCACTAAAGTGTTTTAGGGGACTTCTATTTATTTGGAAGTGGTAAGGGTTCTGTATATCATTAGAAAATTATGTTTTCCTATGTGTTTCATTCTCTGTCTCGCTTTCTTTCTCTCTTTCATTGGGGTTTGAATCCAGGGTCCCATGCTTGCTAGGCATGTACTCTACTACTGAATCACACCTCCAGACCTTTTTTTTGCACTGGTTAATTTTGAGATTGGATCTCACTTCCTGCCTGAGCATATGCCTGCATCACAGTGCTCCTATATTTTGCTTCTTAACGTAGCTGGAAGGACAGATGTTGGTGAAGCCCAGCTGTTGGCCAAGAAGAAGCCTTTGGGACTTTTATATCCATGCTAGACTCAAACCATAATTCTCCTTTTCTCAATTTCACAAGGAGCTAGGATTAAGGCATGAGTGCTTGGCTAATTTTTTTTTCTCTGAAAGAATAATTGATGTTTTCACAACTCTATTTGAGTTCTCTTTTAATATTATCATCTGAAATATTTTTCCAAGGACTTTTCTTAAAAACAGAGGATTTCAAGATAAAATAAATGCTTTAAGATTATGCATTAGTGTCTGTTGTCTCAATGATTCTCCATTCTGTTTTCTGTTTCACCCCAGTCCTTTGATATTCTCCAAAGGCAGAGACTCTTTCAATGGCCAATGGATTTCTATGCTGTTAAGTGCTGTTTAGTACCAGCACTTACTTTCTAGCTTGCTTCTTCTTTTGCATATTTTGTTGGAGGCAGCCTAAAACAATGGATGCTTCCTTTAATTTGTAGCATACTATCATCATTGGACTTACTGTTTATTTGTTAGGTTTAATATTTCCATTTTCTATTTCATTCCATCCTTCCATAGGAAACTCTTCCAGTGTGTTTTGGATGTGTATTCTTTATTTGTATATGTTTTTGTAAAATCTGTTTTATCTGCATTTTTCTTTAAACTGTACATTATACTTTGAGATCTATCCATGGTGCTGAGTATGTATACCTGGTCTATTGTCTCTTAACTGCTGTAGAGTGCTCTAGAATGTGTACAGTAACACATTGCCTGCTCACTTCCTAGTAATGGACAGTGGTAATTAGATTTTCTCTAACTCTTTTCAGTACAAACAAAGCTGTAATCCACACCTGTGGACAGTGGTTATGTTCTCCACATGTAGAGAATATGTGTGGACTTTATACCCAGAAGAGAATAAATTGGAACATGGGATGTCTAGGTTGCTTTGAAGATGGTTCTACCAGTTGGCACTCACTAGCAATGCACAGGAGTTCCGCATCACTCATATTCCTGCTACCATTGGTCATCATTAGATTTCTGGGCTTTGTCAGTATAATGGGTGGAAAGTTGTTGTTTCAATTTTCATTTGATTGTTACTAATGAATGAGAGTATTTGTTAGAAGATTGTGGAGCTTTTAGAGCTCCTGTCTAATTTTTTTTCTTATTCTTTGCTCCTTTTTTTTTTTTTTCATTCCTCTCCTTTTTTTTTTGTGCTAGTGCTGGGGCTTGAACTCAAGGCCTACGCACTGTCCCTCAGCTTTTTTCTTCGAGGCTAGTGCTTTATCACTTGAGCCACATTTCTGACTTTTTTTTGCTTTGCTTTTCTTTTGTGATGGTTAATTGGAAATAAGAATCTCATAGACTTTGCTGCCAGGGCTGGTTTTAAACCGGGCTCCTCAGATCTCAGCCTCCTAAGTAGCTAAGATTACAGGTTTATGCTACCAGTGCCTGGCTGGAATTTGATGGAGATTCTTAGATGCCCTAGGAAAGCAATCCCTTATCAATTTTAAATATTGTTGATATCTTTTTTTCAAAGACTCTTGTCCTAGAGCTTTTCATTGAAAGAGATATTTACCTTTCCTCTTTTATTTTATTTTATTTTTGTGGAACTAGGATTTATACTCATGGCCTTTTGCTTGCTCTGTTTCACTTGTGTTATACCATTTAAGTCACACCTCCAGCCCTGCTTTTTGCTGGTTATATTGGAGATGGAGTCTTACAGACTTTTCTCCCAGGGCAGATTTGAAACTTTGATCCTTTGGATCTCAACCTCCTGTGTAGCAAGGACTACAAGGCATGAACCACTGATGCCTAGATGTAACTTTTCCTCTTAAGGTATTTCAGTTCATTGGGGCTTTGGCCTTATGACTTATATTTGAAGCCTCATTTAAGCAGTCTTTCATTGACCCTAGCTCACAAATATACATTATCTCCTATTAACTCTGTGATTTTGTTTTTGTCCAGGTGTTATCTCTGCACAAGGTATTAGTTTTAATTTTCTCTATGCAGTGAGATCATCTATTAACCTCATTAAACAGAACAATCTGTTCTTTACTGAGTTGCATTGTTACTTTTGTTGAAGGTTAAGTGTGTACATGTCTGTTTTGGGTCAGATTCCCTTAGAAACAGACTTTTAGATAAAGATGTGAATGCAAGCAGAACAAAGAGGAAGTGGTAGAAAAGCAAAAGCAAAACAAGGAAGACACAGGAATCCAGTAAAGGGCATGCTGTTTAGGAGATTTCCACTGTGGGGGAAAAAGGTCAACCTGGGGACTCTGGGAGACAGGGTAGAGTGTGTCTTAGCATCATCTACTTGAAGCAAGGCACCTAAGATATTTACCCCCAACTGCCTCTGTCACCATCTGAGGGCTGCAGTGGTGGGATCACTTCTGGATGGCAAGCAGAGCCACAGAGGCTTGCAATTAGAAATTTCCAAGGTGGTGAATGTAAAAGGCCCATGACAGGGCACTGATTGTGACTGCTGTATTAACCTTCAGTTTCTGCTCAATCGGTAAATTTCCTTATTCACCTCTTTTAGTTTTTTTATTACTGTAGTTTGAAGTAGCTGTGTGTGTGTGTGTGTGTGTGTGTGTGTGTGTGTGTGTGTTGCTGGAGTTCACTTATTAGACAAGCACTCTACCATGGAATTATATCTCCAACCTTATCTCATATATGTAAGTATTTCTGGTTCTTTAACAACAACAAAAATCTAATCTTGAGAATCCTTGTCTTTTAAGTGGCACTGTTTTACACTTACTGTAATTACTCTCTCCTTACATTTTTTTGTGTTATATTAGCATTTACTGATTTTTCTTTCTTTTTGACTTTCCCTCTCTTTTACCTTAATGAACATAATAGTTCAGACTATTATGATGTCTGGATGGTGGTAAATTCATTGTCCCAGGGTTCAATTACGTTTTTTCATCTTACCACAATAATTTCAATGTGATGGGTGAGAAGAATTCTTTACCTTATTCCACAAGTGTAGTTCTTGTTCAGGCAGTGATCCTTGTGGTAATATTGGAGCAACTAAAAGTAAAATTATATCAACATGTTAATTTTTTAATATTTTCTTTTCTTTTTGCCAGTCCTGGAGCTTGAACTCAGGGCTTGGGCACTGTCCCTGAGCTTCTTTTGCTCAAGTCCAGTACTCTATCACTTGAGACACAGTGCCATTTCCAGCTTTTTTCTGTTTATGTGGTACTGAGGAATTGAACCCAGGGCTTCATGCATGTTAAGCAAGGACTCTTTCACTAAGCCACATTCCCAGCCCCAGTATTTCTTTTAAAAATCAAAAATCCATATATAATTTCTTTTCAAATGCTAGCTATCACTTTTCATTGTAAATCTCTATTCACATACTTTAACTAAAATTTTCATCATGTTACTTCATATATGAAGATATAACTATCTAGTACACCTTAATAATTTCATGAAGATACTACTCTTACAAATGCATTACTTATAGATCTTTGAAAACAATTCTACTTAAATGTTATAATAGCCTTACTTATACTAACCTAAAAGTAGAAACAATCCAAGTGTCTTTCCATTGGGGAACAAATAAATAAAACACAATACATCTATCATACAATGCAGTATGTCTTGGCCATATAAAGAATGAATTAGTAATATACACTATGATAGATGTGGATGAGTCTCAGAAGTATTATCAAGAAAGCTATGTGTGCCGGGCGCTGGTGGCTCACGCCTGTAATCCTAGCTACTCAGGAGGCTGAGATCTGAGGATCGAGGTTCAAAGCCAGCCCAGGCAGGAGAGACCGTGAGACTCCTATCTCAAAAAACCACCAGAAAACCGGAAGTGGCGCTGTAGCTCAAGTGGTAGAGCGCTCGCCTTGAGCTGAAGAGCTGAGGGACAGTGCCCAGGCCCAGAGTTCAAGCCCCACGACCGACCAAAAAAAAAAAAAAAAGAAAGCTATGTGTGAAAGATGAAAGAAATATTGTATGATTCCATTATATAAAATGTCCAAAAAAGGAAAATCCACAATTATATTGAGTGGCTGCCTGGATCTAAGAGTAGGAATGAGGATTGAGCACAAATGGGGGATCCTTTGGGGCTGGACAATTCTAAAATAGCTTTGATATTATAGAAGCACAACTTAAAAAAATCCACTAAAGTATCAACTGTATAGATTAAACAGGTGAATCTTATTGTATGTAAGTTATATCTGAGCAAAGGCCTGTTTAAAAGATTTCTATGTGAGGGCTTTACCTTAGTTAATATTCTCTAAAGTTTACCTACTTTATAGTCTCTAAATTTACCTAGTTTATATTTTCTAAACCACTATTTTGCTCCACAGGTTTAATTTCCTAATTCATACTATACAAATGATTAATAATATCTTGGGGTTTTATTGATACTTAAATAAACACTTAAATATTTAAATCAAATTGTACTTATTGTAAGTATACAGTTATCTTTACTAAAGAAAAGCGTCCTACAGTAAAAGACTCTAATTTTAACATGTTTAAAAACTCCTTAAAAATGAGGAAAAATATAAAAAATAATACCTTAAATTAGAGAAGTTTAAAGTTAGTTAAGATAGCACTTTTTAATACTTTCTAAGCATTGACTGTCAGGCATTATGATAACCATTCCAATTGTATTGTCTTTAATTCTGGTGACAAATATCCAATGTAATTATTACTACTAATAATTATTACTACTAATTATTATTATTAATTTCCACTTTAAGAGAAGGAAACTGAAGGAAGAAAGCTTGACTATTTTGCCTAATGTAATACTATTTCAATAGATGAATAGTAGAGAAAGACTTCTTTTCCCTTGAGATAGGCTGACCTCAAACTTAGATCCTTCCTGCCTCAGCCTTCTAGGTGCTGGGAATGCAGCCATTCACCCAACCTCAGAAGCAGATTTCAAACTAAGTCCAGTTGACTCCAAATCCTAACAAACTTCATTTTCTCCTAGCTCTACCCACTTTGTACTTGTCTTGCCTTGAGTCCTAACACATTTTTACTATTAAAGTTCTAATGGTATTAATAACAATAATTAACAACATTTTCTGTGATATTGATTTAATTTTTTGGTGCTGGGGCTCAAACCCAGGGCTTTATGCATACTAGTCAGGGACTCTACTACTAGCTATGTCCCTCCCTCCACCCCTTTTCTGTGGTACTATTACAAGTAATTAATGGAAGTCACACGTAGAGAGTGTTGTTTAAATTCAGAACTGACTGAAATCCCATTCACAGTCCAAGTGGGTAAAGAAACTTTCCCCTTTCTCAGTTCCAGATATCTCAACCTGGGCACCAAAGGCACACTTGTCTGATGAGTCACACTCTGACTTCATTACATTTTCAGGAAGTGCTAATGCTGGGCTTCTCAAGTTTCATATAAAGTAACCAGAGAGCATACAATGCAAGATTCTGCTTGACATGACTTTTCGGGCTTAGAGAATGTAACCTTATATTCTTTTTTTTTGGGGGGGGGAGGTCCAGTCGTGGGCCTGAACTCTGGGCCTGCGCACTGTCCCTCACCTCTTCAGCTCAAGGCTAGCGCTCTACCACTTGAGCCACAGCGCCACTTCCGGCTTTTTTTCTTTTTGCTTATGTGGTGCTGAGGAATCGAACCCAGGGCCTCAGACATGCAAGGCAAGCGCTCTACCACTGAGCCACCTTCCCAGCCCCCCCTTATATTCTTATACTTCTGATCATGAGTGTTGAAGCTTCCAGCTCAATTTCTTTGTATTCAGCTACACAGCGTCACCAAGACCATTGGCAATTTGCCTCCTCCAAGTCTCAAGCTTCACTTAGAAATTGCCATTATGCCTAACATTGCCCAATTTACATAAATCATATCAGGGTATTTTGGGTCTAAATTTTTGAATCCATAATTTAAGAAAAAACCCACTAAGACCATATGACTGAAGCCTTTGTCTACTTGTTAAGTAGAACTCATGTGATTTACCTCCCTGAGGTATTAGTCTGTTTTCCCATTGCTATAATAAAATACTGGAGGCTGGGTAATTTGCAAAGAAAAGACATTTATTTAGTCCAAAGTCTGGGAAACTGAAAGTCTAAGATTAGATGGATCAGATTTACCTCTGGTTAGAGAAGAGGTCAGCAATCCAGGAAGGAACTACCCCTGCTCTTTTCATAACAACTCATTCTTTTGGGAACCAGCTAAATCCCTTCTAAGGTCAGCTCTATAAATGACCTCACCATCTCCTCATTGGACTTCACCCCTTTAAGATTCATCATCTCGAGGCTGGGAAGGTGGCTCAGTGGTAGAGTGCTTGCCTTGCAAGCCTGAGGCCCTGGGTTTGATTCCTCAGCGCCACATAAGAAAAAAGAAAAAAGCCGGAAGTGGCGCTGTGGCTCAAGTGGTAGAGCGCTAGCCTTGAGCTGAAGAGCTGAGGGACAGCGCCCAGGCCCAGAGTTCAGGCCTCACAACCGGACCAAAAAAAAAAAAAAGAAAAGAAAGAAAAAAGATTCATCATCTCTCTATATTGCTACATACAGTGGAGGCCAAGATTCCAGACTTTGAAGGACAGACTCAAATCCCTTCACAATGAATGCTTTATACAGTACTGACAGTAGTAATTAGATCTCTTTCTATATTTTCTAAGGTGGTTATCTTCTGCATCATGTACTTGATGAGCAAGATGCATAGATTTCAGCACTGCATAGTAAAACAGATTGATTTTTCTAAACATGGTACCAATTTTCTTTTCTTCTTCGCTTGCATTTTAGAGTAGAGCTAGGGAATGAAAAACTGTTACAGCTGACTGAAGATTAAGAATTATCCAATAAGCTGGGGCCTGAGTACTCTTTAATTTAGGCTTGGGCATTTGATCACTTCTTATCAGAGGCATAACCACGTGATTGTGTACTGCAAATATATAAACTGTGTTCCTCTTAGAGGAAATTTTCTTCTCTTGGTAATATTCTCTGAATAAACTGTTTCCCTATACTAAATCTGTGGCTGGCCCTTTACCTTCTCATTGCTACTGCATGATCTGTTAATTCAGTTTTGCTAAGAAGGCTGCATTCATTGACATTTATTTCCTTCTGGCTTTGTGACATTTGTTAGGGTGTTAGAAACCTCCAGTTACACGTGCAAAATGATGGATCTTGGTAGATCATCTCTTAGCTTTGCTTATGGATGTCATGCATGCTCTACCACTGCCATCTTTAGGCAAATCACACCATATAGTCACACTCTGTCTCCCCACCATAGATTTAGTGACATAAAATTCATTTTTCAGTATTAAGAGCAGCTCTTTGGAGAATCACAATTCAAAGCCAGTCTGGAAAAAAAAAAAAGCATATGAGACTCCATCTCCAAAATAACCAGCAAAAGGCTGTACTCGAGGTATGGTTCAAGCAGTGGAACGCCAACCATGAGCAAACTAGAGTATCTAGATGGAGGCCCAGAATCCAAGTCACAATACTTGCACATAAACAAAAGCAAAGGCCCAGATTTGAAAGAGAAATGAAGCTGAAAAAGGCAGTCAAAGGTGCCCTGGGCTGCGAGTGGCCACACCATCTCTGCTTGAAAACCACGGAGACAGAAGTAGCGCTGTAGCTCAAGTGGTAGAGTGCTGGCCTTGAGCTGAAGAGCTGAGGGACAGCGCCCAGGCCCAGAGTTCAAGCCCCACAATCAACAAAAGAAAGAAAGAAAGAAAGACAGAAAGAAAGAAAGAAAGACAGACAGAAAGAAAGACAGACAGACAGACAGACAGACAGAAAGAAAGAAAGAAAGAAAGAAAGAAAGAAAGAAAGAAAGAAAGAAAGAAAGAAAGAAAGAAAGAAAATCACTGAGGCATTTTTTGGGGTGACTGGTAGGCAGCAGATATGCTCTTTTTGGAAAAGAAAAGAAAAAAAAAAAACCCTAAGACATTGTTTTTTCGTGCATGCAAGGCAAGCGCTCTACCACTGAGCCATCTTCCCAGCCCCTAAGACATCTTTTTTTAAGGAAACTGCTGCCTCCCAAGACAGTTATTTTGTGCAGTTACAAAACCATTGCAAATCTGTAATATGTAACTGCCCTGGAGGCAGCGTGGCTTTACATAACAAAACAACTTCCCATTACCTCTCTAATTACCTGCCTCCCGAAGAAGGCAGATGAAGACAATCATTCCTAAATTTTCCAGTAAAAGAAAAAGCTTAAAATATATAAAAAAGAATGGATATTTATATTTACTTGTAAGTCATTCTGCATCCCCAGTGGCTATACACATGTAAGTCGTTGGTTAGATTCTGGTTACATAGATTTAAAGCTTTGCTTATCGAGTAAGGAAGTTCCCCTCAGGTCCCCAGGCACCCAATCCGCAGCGTCTCAGAAAAAGAGTTCAAAACAATGAAATGAGGGCAATCAAAAGCAATAGATTAGGAAACGAATGCTAGCCTCCATTTACCCATCTCTGATTGAAGGCTGCGCTCTAACCTCTGTAAGACTTTGGAGTTGTGATTTTAAATCCCCACCGTTTTGACGAAAAAGAAAATCATTGAAGGGTCTGCAGTACCGAATAGCACAGGGAAGCAGAGAATCAACCTAGAGAATTCTCGCTGGTGGCAGGAGAGTGCTTGGCACTGGGGCAGCCCCTGGAGCTCAGGGTCAAATGAGAATCCTCCCAAGTTACCTGGCAACTGAACCTTTAGAGAACCGGGGTGATGTTTTCTCAGTTGTCACATTTGCACTCTGCTACATCCTCAGAAGGTCGGACTCTGCTCCCAGACCTTGCCTTTCCTACTTCTTTTCCTCTAAGCCAATCTCAGAAACCCCTCATGTTACCAGAGTGTAGCTTGCACACTGGCTCCTCCTCTACCTGCATGTGGTGAGAAAGCCTCTCTTCTTCCAAATCTGGTGCCTAAAGAATCTGCACTGTTTCCTGGGATGGGGTTTTTCTCTGCTCAGGACAATCAGAACAGGACAGTATGTCAGGTCATCCCCCACAGAGCCTGAGTGCACCCCAGGTTTACCTCCACCACAGAGAGTACAATGTCAAACTTACTTTTCCTTTTTACCCTCATTTATTTCCCTGCACTTTTTTTTGGGGGGGGGAAATGGGGAGGTCGGTTGTGGCACTTGAACTCTGGGCTTGGGCGCTGTCCCTCAGCTCTTCAACTCAAGGTGAGTGCTCTACCGCTTGAGCCACAACACCACTTCCGGTTTTTTAGTTGTTTATTGGAGATAAGAGTCTCGCGGACTTTCCTGCCCGGGCTGGCTTTGAACCAAGATCTCAGCCTCCTGAGTAGCTAGGATTACAGGCGTGAGCCACAGGAGCCCGGCTTCCCTGCATTTTTAAAGCTTGTTGAAGATAATAATAAGGAAATTATCTCTAAAATAGTTTTCAAATGCTCCTACACAATCTCACTGGGACCTCATTTATTTCGTAAGATAGAAATAGATTATTTATTTCTAACCCAAGAAGGAAACAAGAGCAAATGTGTTCTGAGCGGCATAAAGTCAAAGCCACTGGACTGGAGAAAACCAATGCCATTCACAAAAATCTACCTCTAGTCCATTCTTCTGCGCTACCCAGATACCTGAAAACATCCATATGCCTGGAGCTAGTTCAGGCTTGAGCAGGAAAATATAGATTCCCTTTTGGAGAAAGGGAATCCCAGGTAGCTTTTTGTTTGTTTGTTTGTGTTTTAACAGACACATATTATTATCACATAATAGGAGGCACACAATGACCGGTACATACAGAAGAATGTATGCGTGTCTCTACATTTATGCATTCATTGTGCATGTGTACATATATGCACACAATAATGTTGTCAAAATAGCAAAGGGTAATCATTATGAGCAAATATGCTAGTCATGTCCGATCTCAACACCACAATGATCTCAAAATAGGTTTAGGTAAAGGCTTTGGCTCCAGTTATCCATCTTCCAATGACTGCAGTGAATGGGGATGGCGCAGGACGGGGGGTGGAGGGGAAGGTGGGGCGGAGGATGCTTTTCAGTTTTCTCTACTTCGATTCCCCTTCCCTTCCCCAATGGGCTGAAAATCCTAGGTGTGTGCAACCTCCCCTCAGCCTGCCCCACACTCGAGGCTCTCCATGGGGACCAGGCACGCGCTGGTGCAGCACCGACCACCCGCACCTCCATGGCTGGCTGCCCAGCGTGGGCCACCTGCGTCCTGCAATCGCGGGTGACAGCCTGGAGGCCGCGGCGCGTGCGCGCGGGGAATCGGGGCGGAGGAGCCGCGGAGGGGCAGCAGGGCTGGACCGTGGTGGGCTTTCTTACCTCGGCAGGTGCCCGCGCAGCAGGCGAGCAGCAGCAGCAGCAGCGGGAGCAGGAAGCGGGGCGCGACGGCCACCACCTGTCCCGCCGGTGGCCCCCGACGACGGCTCACGGCTCCTGGCATCTCCGCGCCTGCGGACATCTCCGGATTCGGGACGTGGGACCCTGGGCTCCACCCGGTGCCCTGGCCACCGAACCGATCGCCCTGAGCGACACCAACTTTTAAATCTTGCGCACACGTGGGCTGGGACGGCGTGGTCCCCCGCGCGCCGCCCCCCTCCCACCCCGGCCTCCCCGTGTCACCCCGACTCTCTGCGGGCCCCACCCCGCTGCAGCGAGACCTGCTCCCCACGCGCGGTGGGGTGGAGGAGAACACTCTCCCAGCTTTGCAAGGACTGGGGTGGGAGCAGGAAGGGGGAGCAAACCAGGGCGTCCCCGGATTTACACTGGCAGCAGCGACCACCCGTCTAGCGTCTGCCGGGATATCCTCTCTCTCCACCCTCCCTGGAAGCCAGTGCCCCATCCACCAGTGTGTGGGGTACCCCCTGGAGGGGGACCTCCTCCATTCACCCTCCGCCAAGTCGCTGATCTCAATCTCTCGCTTTCCCGGGAACCAACCATGATCCCGGGTCCCCAAATCCTTGCCAAGTGCAAAGGCATTTACTAAGGGGAAAGCAGCTCTCTGCTAATGAAGGGTCAGGATGGGAGGACAGCTGGGCCGACCACGCCCATTTCTAGCAGGTGTACAGGTGCGCCGGCCCCCTGCGCAAAGGAGCAGGCGCCTAAGCCACGTGCTTCTGCCTAGTCTGCGCCCTCATTCCCAGAAGGACCCTGCTTTTCCGATTTGCATTCCTTCCTTGGAGGAAACGTCTGGAAGCAGCCTCCTCTAAGACAACTGAGGCAGTTCTAAATTTCCTTCCACACGAAAAAGGAAAACCAGTCTTATTTGGCTTCCTTTGAAAGGCCAGAAACGCCAAGGAAAGGGCAGGAAGTAGAATAACATTCTTAAAGGGCATTTTCCTGACAATCAATCATATGCATGCTATATCATTTAATATTTATAACATTGCTGAGATGTAAAAGTATTGTGGAAAAAAATGATTCTTAAAAGTATCGGAAAACTACATTGTAAAAGATGGAGCGTCACCATTGTCAATTTAAATTCGGGGATCCCAGACTTTTGGAACAGTCTGGTTTGGGTCCTTCTTTTTGCCCCCTTTCCCACAGCCCTTCCAAAGCTGGGAACTCACATGGATTGCTTTAATTCCATTCTCCTCCATCCCAGTTTTTGTTCAATGAGTGGCAAAAGTATCATTTGCGCCAGTTGCCAGTGGCTTATGCCTATAATCCTAGCTACTCAGGAAGTTGAGATCTGAGGATAGTTGTTGGAACACACAGGTATCTGTCAAACAATTTTCATTTAGAGAAAGATTGTACAGTCTTTGCAAGGATGTGAACATGTAAGAGAATCATGCCATTCTACTCTGCTAGCAAAACCAGGGTTTCAGTGTTCAGACAGTATGTGCACTCTACTACAAGCAAGACACGCCCTTTGAAGATACAATTAATAACAGTAGGACTTTCCTAAAGAAAATTAGAATTTGATAAAGGACCCCAAACTCATGCACAAATAGTTGGAGCCCCAGGCACATTGGGATAGGGCTCTGTGACAGATTAAGTAAAATAATAATCATGGTAAGTATCATTTTCAAGTATATATGCAGGAAACATGTGCGAAAGGTCAGATTTTAAGATCTGGTCCAAGATCATGGATGAGCAAAAACATATTTAATTAAAGATTGATGCACTTTGATTCTCTATTCCTAAGAAATGAATAAGTGAAGTGCAAAGCTTGTAAATGACCTCAGGCGCTGGATATTGAGAGGGCTTGGGGAGTGGGGTATATAGACACTTTATTTCCCTAGAGCAAAGGCTGGGGACATATGACTAGATGGAAGCTGAGTGCACAAACCTCCTTTTGTCCCAGCATTCCAAACGAGCTTAACCCCTGATCTCCGAACAAACCATGGGTAACTTAATTATTAGCATCTCAATCTGGACTGAGTTCACATCTGCATCTGCTCCCAGCATAGCTCCAGCATGGCTCAAGTGTTTCTGGGTACTCTGCTCCAGAATGAGCATCTGACTCCTAGCATCATGCTGAGTCTTCTCCGTGAGAGTCTCTCACGTTCTTGACTACCAGTTGGCAACAGAATGTTGCTTTGTGGACAACCTGTAAGAAAGAAGGCTCAACTATTGTAGGAGACTGCAGATTAGCAAAACCTGGAGAGTATCATGTAAGTATAAGAAGGGTAGAAGAGTGGAGCATAAAGAGAATGGAGATGCTGGTAATAGGTAGAAATCCATCCAGGCAGTAGTTGACAACAAGGAAGCTAGTAATAGGCAGAGAACCAGCTTCAGAACTGAGGGCAGAGACAAGATTTGGAAGACTTAGGAGTTCTGGTAGTTCTAGTAGTCCTTCATGTACACTCTGAGGACCTACAAGATTGCTATACAAGAAGTGATGCTTTCAGTTAAATTCTCTCCATTGATGGAGTTGGCAATTTTTCAAGGTGAGTCAGATAATATATAAGTAAATACTAACCATGGGTAGTGTTAATGCTATCAAGCAATTATAGCAGAGTAATGAGCTCATACAAGGCAACATGGAGTTGAGAGATAGCTTCCTGTCTTGACAGGACTGTTGGTATCTCTCTGAGGTGTGATGTGGGAGCCCTGAAAGATAAGAAGGAACCAATCAAGTACAGAGCCTAGAAATAAAAGCTGCATACAGAAGGCTGTCAAGCACCAAAGTCCTGAGGTAGAAACAAGCTAGAAAGAATGACTCAAGGGGAAGGAAGTCAGTGAGTCAGTGAGTGAGCACAGAGTCCGTGAGTGAGTGAGTGGAATGCAGGGAGGGAGTTAAGGTCAGAGAAGCAGCACAGGTTGGGTCCTGATCATACATGGCTTTTGGAAACTATGATAAGGAATCCAACTTATTCCTAAGTAAAAGGAAGCCTAGAGATGGTTTTAAGAAATGTGATGATCTGGTGTGCATTGAGAAACACCATTTGGGCTTCTGAGAAAGCAGGTATTTGGGGACCCCAGGAGAAATAGGAGATTAGGTGAGAGGTAAGTGTGGGGTCCATGACAGAACTCTAAACAGGAAGAAGTGAGGCACGGCATAGCATGGATGTGCCTCGAGAACACAATCATGAGTAAAGAAGCAGAGCCACTGGGTGCTGGTGGCTCAAACCTGTAATCTGAGCTACTCAGGAGTCTGAAATCTGAGGATCACTGTTCAAGGCCAGCCCAGTCTGTGAGACATAACAGTTTGTGAGACTCCAATTAGCTACCAGAAAACTGGAAGTGGAACTGTGGCTGAAAGTGGTAGAGTGTTAGCCTTGAGAAAAAGAGTTCAGGGATAGTGCCCTGGCCCTGACACAAAAAAGAAAAAAAAA